AATTGTCTACACCCCCACACCCCTACACCCCCACATCCCTACACCCCCACACCCCTACCCCCACCCTCACCCCACCAGAGAAGCGCACGAAACGAAACCTGAATGAAAAACCATCTCAAAACCTTTCAACAAATTTAGTGTGAAACAAAACCGCAGACAGAGACACACAATGATTGCTAGAATAAATAAATACACTTTCATCGTTATAATTATAGTGAACAACCAATCATCTATAACTAGAATGTTGCCTTGACTACAATTAGAGGTTAAAGTGACTGAAGAATGATAATTATACCGAAGAAAATAATATGAATAAAATATATGAAGTTTATAAAAGGAGGAGAGAGGTAGGGGTAGACAAGCAGCTGATTACTGCACTCTCTGCTGTACTCTGTGGACCCTGAGTGGTTACATCATAAGGAAGGTGGCTGCCAGATTTATGGGCCGCTGGCATTGGCAACACTGCTAAGAGGACGAAGAGGAGAGGGAGGAGGGAGGCAGGAAAAGGGATAGTTTATAGGATTAGGAGAAAAGGAAAGAAAGAGGAGGAGGAACACGAATAGAAGGAGGTGGATGGTCGATTAGGATTTAGAATAAGAGCAGATAGGAGGAGAGGCGAATAGGGGATAGATTAGAAGGGGGGAAGGGGGGAAAATGTCATTAGAGAAGAGGAAGAGGAGGAGAAAGAGAAAGAGAATGGTCTCGTGGTACAAGAAAGGGAAGATATTGTGGTAGGTGGGGAGAATAGGATTTGGTGATAGGAGGAGAAGGAGGAAGATGAGGGTTGGTAGGAAAGAGGAAACGATGAACTCCCCCATGGTAGGAGAGAGGGGGGAGGAGGAGAGGGAATGTTGTGATAGGAAGGGTGGTGTGGGGGGGGGGAAAGGGAGTGGGAGAGGAAAGTTGGCGGAAAGGGAGGAGAACGACGGTTCTCGTGGTAGGAGAGGAGGTGGGGGGATGATTGGGTGGGAAGGAGAAGAAGCAAGAAGAGAAGAGGGGATGGGTAAGTGGTAATTCGTAGGCGGGGGAAGGAAAATATGTGGGTGAAGGGAAGGCTCAGTGGTGGGATAGAATCGTGTACGAGAGAGAAGAGAGAGAGAGAGAGAGAGTGAGAGAGGGAGAGGGAGAGAGAGAGGAGAGAGAGAGAGAGAGAGGAGAGAGAGAGAGAGAGGGAGAGAGAGAGAGAGAGAGGTTGATAGAGAGAGAGAGAGGAGAGGAGAGAGAGAGAGGAGAGAGAGAGAGGAGAGGGAGTAAGAGGAGATATAGGGAGGGGGAGAGAGGATAGGGAGGAGAGGAGAGAGGAGAATAGGGAGAGAGAGAGAGGAGGGATGAGATGGGGGGATGGAGGGGGAGAGCGGAGGGGGGGGGTGAGGGGAGGGAGGAGAAGAATTCTAGATGAGATGAGAAAGAGAGAGATGAGACAGAGAGACAGACAGACAGAGAGACAGAGACAGAGACACAGAGAGAGAGAGAGGTCTAGGACCAAACTTGTTTACATCTAACTGGAGAACGACAAAATGCAACATGAAAGAAATAAAGTAAAACAAGAAAGCTTTGGACTAATCACCAAAATACTAAAAGAAAATAAATGAGCAGAAAGACCAAAAATGTATAACTAAAGGGCCTACCATAAACAAAATATGATCCAAGCTAAACAAGACCGATCCAGCACAATTACAAATTTATTAAATTATATAAAGACTATGATTACATTAATAACCCAAGACACTTATATCAAGGCCCGGGGGGCGGGGGACAGGAAGCCACATAGTAAACATTATAAGACAAAACAAACGAAGGAAGAAATAGAAGATGGAGATAAAGGTGAGAGAAGGAGTGGGAGAAGAGACTAATATAGTGTATAAATATTTCAGGAATAATTCCATGCCGCCAAGAAATGGTAGAAGCAGAGAGGTACAGGAGAGTAGCGAGGTTATGAGAGCGTTATGTGGTGAGGGGGTGATGGTGAGGATTATGATGAGGGGTGATGGTGAGGGTTATGATGAGGGGTGATGGTGAGGGTTATGATGAGGGGTGATGGTGAGGGTTATGATGAGGGGTGATGGTGAGGGTTATGATGAGGGTGATGGTGAGGGTTATGATGAGGGGTGATGGTGAGGGTTATGATGAGGGGTGATGGTGAGGGTTATGGTGAGGAGTGATGGTGACTGTGATGGTGATAGTGAGGGTTATGATGAGGGGTTATGATGAGAGGGTTATGATGAGCGGTGATGGTGAAGGTTATGATGAGGGGTGATGGTGAGGGTTATGATGAGGGGGTGATGGTGAGGGTTATGATGAGGAGTGATGGTGAAGGTTATGATGAGGGGTGATGGTGAGGGTTATGATGAGGGGTGAAGGTGAGGGTGATAGTGAGGGTTATGATGAGGGGGTGATGATGAGGGGTGATGGTGAGGTTATGATGAGGGGATGGTGAGGGTTATGATGGGGGTGATGTGAGGGGTTATGATGAGGGGTGATGGTGAGGGTTATGATGAAGGGGTGATGGTGAGGGTTATGATAAGGGGTGATGGTGAGGGTTATGAGGGGTGATAGTGAGGGTTATGATGAAGGGGTGATGGTGAGGGTTATGATAAGGGGGTGATGGTGAGAATAATGATGAGGGGTGATGGTGAGGGTTATGATGAGGGATGATGGTGAGGGGTTATGATGAGGGAAGATGGTGAGGATTATGATGAGGGGTTATGGTGAGGGTTTTGATGAGGGGGTGATGGTGAGGGCTATGATGAGGGGTGATAGTGAGGGTTATGATGAGGAGGTGATGGTGAAGGTTATGATGAGGAGTGATGGTGAGGGTTAGGATGAAAGGGTGATAAAGAGGGTTGTGATGAAGGGGTGATGGTGAGGGTTATGATGAGGGGGTGATGGTGAGGGTTATGATGAGGGGGTGATGGTGAGGGTTATGATGAGGGGTGATGGTGAGGGTTTTGATGAGTGATGGTGAGGATGATGGTGAGGGTTATGATTAGGGATGATGGTGAGGGTTATGATTAGGGATGATGGTGAGGGTTATGATGAGTGATGGTGAGGATTATGATGAGGGATGATGGTGAGGGTTATGATGATGATGATGAGGGGTGAGGGTGAGAGTTATGATGAGGGATGATGGTGAGGGTTATGATGAGGGGTGATGGTGAGGGCTATGATGAGGGGTGAGGGTAAGAGTTATGACGTGGGGTGATGGTGAGGGGTAGGATGAGGGGTGATGGTGAGGGGTGATGATGAGGGGTATTATGAGGGGTGATGGTGAGGGCTATGATGAGGGGTGAGGGTAAGAGTTATGATGAGGGGTGATGGTGAGGGTTATGATGAGGGGTGATGGTGAGGGTAATAATGAGGGGTTATGATGAGGTGTGAGGGTGAGGGTTATGATGAGGAGTGATAGTGAGGGTTATGATGATGATGATGATGATGATGATGATGATGATGATGATGATGAGGGTTGAAGGTGGGAGTTATGATGACGGGTGTGGTGAGGGGTATGATTGGGGGTTATGATGAGGGGGTTATGATGAGGGATGATGGTGAGGCTTATGATGATGGATGATGGTGAAGGGTTTTCATGAAGGGTGATGGAGAGGGTTATGAAGAGGGGTGAGGATAAGGGGTTATGATTAGGGGTGATGGTGAGGGTTATGATGAGGAATGGTGGTGATGGGGTGAGGAGATATGATGAGAGGTGATGGTGCGGGTTATGAGGGGTGACGGTGAGTGTTATGATGAGGACTGATGGTGAGGGGGTGTTGGTGAGGGGTTATGATGAGTGGTGATGGTGAGGTTATGGTGAGGGGTGATGGTGAGGGTTATGATGAGGGGTGATGGTGTGGGTTATGATGATGGGGTGATGGTGAAAGGTTATGATAAGGAGTGATGGTGAGGAGCTATGATAAGGGGTGATGGTGAGGGGGTTATGATGAGGGATGATGCGGGCCACGATGAGAGCAAAGATGATGTTATGAGATATAATATGTTGAGTATTGTTACCATGAAGAATTTTAAAATGTGGATTATTATGATGAGATTGTTATGATGAAGGTTGTTATGAAGATGATTGTTATAATAATGACTGGAGAAAAATTGTTATGGTGTAGATTGTTATGAAGATTATTATGATGAGGGTTGTATAATGAGGATTGTAATTGGGAAGATTATTATAATGAAGGTCGTTACGAGAGAAGATTGTTATGATACGGGTTGTTATGGTGGAGATTGTTATAATGAGGCGTGTTATAGTGAGGATTGTGATAATGAGGATGGTCTTGATGAGGATTGTTATGATTAGGATTGTAGTGATGTTATTATTAATTATTATGATGAGGATTGTTATAATGACGGTTGTTATGGTGAAAATTTTTATAATGAGGGTTGTTATAATGAAAACTGTTATAATGCGAGTTGTTATGATGAAGGCTGTTATAATGAGGGTTGTTATGATGAAGGCTGTTATAATGAGGGATGTTTGGATGAGAGTCGTGATGATGAGAACACTCATAATAAAGACCAAATGATGATGACTGTGATGATGAGTACTGTGACGATGAGTACTGTGACGATGATAACTGTGATAATGAAGACTATTATGATGATTATGATGATGAGAACTGGGATGATGACTGTAATAATGAGAGCTGATGATAACTGTAATTATGAGAACTATAATGAAAACTGTAACGGTGTGGTCTATTATGGTGACGAAGAGAGAGAGAGAGAGAGAGAGAGAGAGAGAGAGAGAGAGAGAGAGAGAGAGAGAGAGAGAGAGAGAGAGAGAGAGAGAGAGAGAGAGAGAGGATAGCGGTATTGTGGGACGGGTTATTTTTATGACGGGAGGGAGGTGTAGAGGCAGAAGGTGAGGTTTACGACACCACAACCCCACCCCACCTCCTCCCCCAACCCCAGGAGAGGAGTGACCAGGCACACAACCCCAGCAGGAGGTGACAGGGACACGGCTAGTGAGGGCCGTGCCACCCTCGGGTACGTACCTGGTGGGTAGGGTGCCGGAGGCATGCTCTCCGCTGTAGGGTAGTTCCGCAGGTAGCCGTCGTGGGGGTATCCGGCAGCAGCCTCCATGGCAGATTTAGGAGCCCCGTCGGCCGCCGTCAGGTATGGCACGGGCTGGCCGTGGGCGTCGACGTGGCCCACACGCCCGTAGGGAGGGTAGTTGCACCACGTCTGGGCGGCGAAAGCCTGACACGACTCCGTGGCCATCGACGAGGGTCCCGGGGCGTAGTCGTATTTGTTCGGCCAGAAGGCCAGAGTCTTGCGGTCAGCCATTCTGGAATCCGCAATATTGTAGTAGGTGGGCGTGACCCCGTCCCGACAGAAAGCCTGGCCATATTGGGAGTCGAACGGGGCTGTGGCGGCGGCGTGATCAGGCTGGTAGTTCCAGGGTTGTGTAGAGTGAGAGTGCCTGATGACCCCAGCCGCGGCGCCCGAGTCTGGCCCCGTGGGGCACTCGGGCGGGTGCGGGTAGGTGGATACTGCCAGGGTGGTGGCCACACGCTTGGCCGGGATGTGGAGCGGTGTCTGGCCCGTGGGCTCCAAGCCTCGTGTACTGGCCGAGTCCTCATACAGTGATCCGTTCATCCTGTCTAGTCCTCCTCCCTCGCTGCTACCCACTGCATGGTGGTGCCGCCACGGTATGGAGTCCACCGTCGCCAGGGTGCCGCACAGTCACACACGATCGGAAAGAGAGAACAACACACACACATTAGCTGGCGTGGCACTGCCGCCGCATGGAGCAAGCACGCTAAGCACGGCAGCCGCGGCAAAAAACAGCCTGCGTGTGTTGAGGCCGCGGCGA